GGAGAGGACTGGGTTTTGCCCGGCTCCTGAAGAGTTTCCAAATGAGGAAGTGTCGTGGTGGTTGAACAATTTTTGCACGGTATATATATATATATATATATATATTTATATATATATATATTATATATATATATATATATATACCGTGCAAAATTATATATATATATATGTGTGTGTGTGTGTGTGTGTGATAGATAAATAGATAAAACATCCATCCTTAACAATGGTTAAAAGTGTAGACGAAAGCGCTACGAATTACAAAACATTTGGACAGTTTCTACAGACTCTGCGCCCAGAAAAGAAAACATTTGTCCTAACACGTGTAAAATTAAATAAAAAGTTTAATCACACTAACTTGTCTGTTGTCTTTATTGAAATATGTATAAAAGAGGATATGCTGCCTAAATGCACAATATGTATATATATATATATATGTGTGTGTGTGTGTGTGTGTGTGTGTGTGTGTGTACAGTGCGTTCTGCTTGATTAAAAGTAATGTTTTCATCTAACGTGTCAATAAATTCTGTTTTTTTCAGACTTTGTGCTTCTTGCAGATTAAATTATACTTTCAGTCAAGAGAATATGATCAATGAAAAAAAAGTTGTATAGTAACATAGTTCTTTTTCTCAAAGTATGTAAAAAGGCACAGTTTCAAGTGTTCGGTCTGATTAAGCAATCACCATATAAATCCTTAATATGGGTAAGAAAAAAGGGTCTTACTGAAAACGATCATGCTGAAATTACTCGCAAGCTTGGAAGTGGTCTGTCAACGCTAGAAATTTCAAAAAAGTTACATGGAGACCACCGTACAATCAAAACATTCGTCTTCGGCAGTAAATCATGCAGAAAGACACCTAAACAATCGCATTTGCGAAAGTTAACTGCCAGAGATCTTCGTAAAATTAAATATGAAGTCTTGAAGAAACCGCATGAAACTAGTAAAAAAATATTTGAAAGCGCTGGAGTGCCCAAAGTTGGTAAAACTACCCGTTGTGAGGTCCTCAACACCCTTGCCAAAGTGAAGAGTCCCATCAAGAGGCCCCCATTGAGCAAAGCAAACAAGATGAAAAGAGTTGAATGGGCACACAGTTACATAAAGACCAATTTTAGCAATGGGATTTTCACCGACGAGTGCCGTGCCACCCTTGATGAGTGGTCATCTGGATGGGTGTTAAATGATCGACCGGCAGGAGTACGCATTCGTCGACAACAGGGTGGCAGAGGAGTGATGTTTTGGGCTGGGATCCGCGGAAATGAACTAATAGGCCCACAGAAAGTAGCCAAAGGGTTTAAGCTAAATTCAAATGCATATTGTAGGCTTTTGGAAGATGCCTTTCTGCCCTGGCTTGATGAACAACCAATTCAGAAAAGAAGATCGTTGATATTTCAGCAGGATAATGCTCCAGCGCATAGATCAAGAAGCACCACCAATTGGCTATCAGACCATGGTTTCAAAGGGCAAAATTTAATGGTATGGCCTCCAAACAGCCCTGATTTAAATCCAATACAAAATTTGTGGTCTATAGTCAAGAGGCGGATTAATGCTGAAAACAAGCAATTCACCAGCTTAGAAGTCCTGTGGAAAGCAATTGTAAGTGCTTGCCGATCAATCAAACCTACTGAAATTGAAACATTGACGTCAGCAGTGGACAGACGCCTCATAACGGTTTTGAAGAATGGAGGATGTCATGTTTGTTCGTAGCCGCATTAACAGACGTGTTTTGTTTTGCTTAACATGCTATACATATGTATTATGTAATGTAGGACTTAGAACACAAGATGTATTGTCATATGCGCCACAATTCAATTAATAAAATTTAGTATAAAATGTGTTGTTCTTGTTTTATTTTCCATTTGCATAATGAAAGTGAACACTAAATTAGGGCTTAAGTTCATAAATCATTAAAAAGAAGCACGTTTTGTATATTTCGACAACTTAGATGACAAAATAATAATATAGTATCAACAACACTTTAGCTTTTATTCTTCAGAAAATATTGCTTAACTTGGATATTTTTAGGTAAAAATTAACTTTGCATAATCAAGCAGAACGCACTGTATATTAGTATAGCCCACCTTATATTCTGCATTTATACCCCAATATTATATTTAACTTATTTTAAATTTGAGCTGTGAATCTGCATGAGACCCGGTATATTATTATTATTATTTTTTAAATCATAAGTTATATTTGATGCCTGATATATTGGTAAGACAACCCAAACGTAAGTATATTTATACTTATTAATATATATTTCTTAGCTCTGTCTAACCATATTAAGTATGTTATGTTTACACCTTAAAGTAAATTTATGAAAAATATTTATTTGCTTACCTATGTATGCACGCTAACGCGCGCATTTTACAGTTGCAAATATCTAGATATTTGATTTACCCACTTCAATGGCTATATATATATATGTGTGTGTGTGTGTGTGTGTGTGTGTGTGTGTATACAGAAATATATGCATATATATGTGTATATATATGCATATGTATATATATGTATATATATATATATATGTATATGTATTAAAATATATATATATATATATATATATATATATATATACAGTCAACGACATACATATATACATATATATATATATATACAGTAAACGACGAAATTATTCGTACACCAATCAATGACAAGAATTCCGTCTACCCATTTTCACTCACAATGCTTCGGTCAACCGGTGGTATGGTTTTCAGGCACTTTCCAAAGGTGCCAAACGCTAGAAGTCCCTTTCTAACAAACTGAACATGGTAAGATTCAAACCCGGGTCTCATGGACACAATGCGAACGTTCTAATCACTCGACCACGTGTCTATTCGGTTGTCTAGTCGTACTGATGAGCTGTGATACAGCGAAACAGGGCATATATATATATATATATATATATATATATATATATATATATATATATATATATATATATCGTTAGAAAAGGTTATAATTGTTCCAACGAGAGAAAAATGTATATTTTTAAAAAGAAAACTGCAAACGTTTCTAATTATAATGTGGATTTGTTTTAGTGTATATATTATATTTTATCCTTTACATTAAGAATAAAAGTATAATATATACACTAAAACAAATCCACATTATAACCAAAAAACGATTGCGGTTTCTCTTTTTTAATATATATATATATATATATATATATATATATATATATATATATATATATATATATATATACTCCATGTGTATTTGTATACATTTGTCTAAAATACTATTTTTTTACTTATGAGAGCTACTTCCCTATGCATTAATCCCAGCAGGTAGCAGTGTTCTTGTTATGACAATGACGGATTGTTCGAAGATATTTACGATGTCGGAAGGCGCTGATATGCAGTAAAACAACAATAGTTTTAAAAATGTTTTTAAAGAGTGGCATATGAATATCTGATATTAGTCAGGACTTTAAAAATATCAAATTAATAGGTAATTTAATTTATTTATGCTAATACAAGAAGTAATTTATAGGGAGTAAAGATTTCATTATTGCTTTAAAAACGAACACATAAAAAGTATATATTAATTTACTGAGTTGTCAGATAAATTCGTTCGTTTTATTCCACTCTTATTTGAATTGACACGGCAAATATTTTTACTGTAATGATTTATGGTTTTTGTAGTTCCATTCTTTCTCTGCAATTTTTGTTTATCGTTTTATATTCTGATTTGTTAAAATAGCTGATGAATAATAAAATTAAAATAAATGGTGGGAAAACGAAAGAATTTATCTGACAACCAATATAATTTTTTAATAGTACTGTTCGTTCAATATAATGCCGAAGAAGCAGTCAAGGTAGAAGGTTACTTTGTGCTATTGTATGATCGTAATAAATGGCAAAAAGTACGGTTCATAGGACTTTGTAGGAAAGATAATGAATAAATCAAGATTGTAATGATTGAGAAATCATCCTACTGGGAGTTTGGTCCACAAAGCATCAGTTCTTGGGAAGGAGCTGTCCGAATGGAACTTACTTTTTATTAATGGAATACGAAGGGAATGAGGATTATGTATCCTTGTGTACGAAGAATGGCGGGTTCCAGTTGGAAAATTCATGACTGGTGGAACCCAAGTATGTCGCACGCCAAAACACATGCCATGGAAGTAGCGATAGAGTCAAGAGAGGCTCGCAACAAATTAAAACAAAGTTGGGGGGGGGTGATAAGGAAAATATATTTACTGTAAAATGACAAATCGAAAAATGATAACAAAAGCAACAACAAAATTATAACAAAAGCAACCGATTATCGTTCCTCACTCTTCAGAGCTCAATCGAGTACAAAAATATAAATTTGTGCACTAAAATCAATGAGAAATCAGAGAGAATGTTGCTTAGATTTAATATATGAAGGTTTAAGTGATTTTAGATGGCAATCTGAATATGTTTTGCTGACAAATGAGAAAAAAGTCTTTACCAAATGACAAGGAACAAATTATTATAGGAAGTGTTTTGTAAGATATTAATATATACTTTTATCTCATATTATGTTTATAAGGAAGTGAAAGTTTAAATAGGATATAATATTCTCCTCTTAACCAAAAATAATTATATGAATCCAAATAGCTTGTAACAATGAAAAAATCACGCACCTCATATTTGCCAAATTATAGAAGGGTCTTTGAGTTCACATCCTCTTTGTATATTCTGTAACGGAAATTTCAAAATCTCGAACGAATTTATCAAATGGAATAAAAAATATCCTGGCTTTTGGTATTAATCCAAGGAATTAATCCTGAAAATTCTTATGTGTATTTAAAATGATTTTCTAAGCATAGCACAAGGCCGGAAGTATGGGGGCACTCCAGTGAGGATCGAACTCATTACTCAGTCGTAATTGCTCTAACGAGACAAGCTTGCTAACCATTACAACACGCCACGTTGCCCTTTAAAGATTTTGTAAGCGTAACTTAGATGTGACACAAGACCAAAAATGTGGAGCACCCAGTGAGGATCCTTATGTGTATTTAAGATTAACTTACATGTTCCCGGTTTTCTTGTTTGTCTTTCTTTGTAGCATTCAATGATCCGTTTCGCTTTATCCTGAGCAAAGAGACAAAAGATCAAATGGACAATATCGCATCAAGGAGGTTCATAAAAATCTCCTTTACCGACTCCCACGATTTACATTAAATGACAGAAATGCTTCCCGGATTTGTTTGGCGTATAAGCATCCTTCATCTCAAAATCAATGAATCGACATTATGATCTTCATCTATTTGAATAATCAATTCATTACCAGCTTTAAAGAGATTGTACTTTTTATTCTGCGAGGCATCGCCACCGTGATAGCCAGTCGAATTATCTGCGCGAAGGACTTGGAACTTTACGATTGGCAACAATAAAATGAGAGATCAAACTAAAGGTAATAGTACCTGGCCCCTCATTCGACAAAAGCAAAAATCAAATAATAGACAGTAATACATACGCACGCACACACACACACACACACACATGTATATATATATATATATATATATATATATATATATATATATAATGGATAGAAATTAAAGAATAAGAAAAAGAGAAATAATTGGGGAGTGGTAGAAATAAACACGCTAATGAAGATATGGCGCATAAAGTTTAGCAGATAAAGCAAAATACCAGAAGGAAGATGAGATAAAAAAAAGGCAACAAAAAACAATGTCCATTTCAGAAACCATTAATGGAATCCGATACTGATCGAAAATAGGTGGTAAGGTTAATCTTTTCACTAATGAGCAAACGCGTGCATTGGGGCGGGGTCGTTACAGTCAATGTTTACCTTGGGAGTGAGAGACCAATCATTATTGCCGGTTATTATGAGAAACATGAGACAGAAAGAAAGAAAGCTATCCAATTTTACATCCGATTTGCTCAGTATGAAGAGGAAAAACGAAGTCTAGATGGGACATGGAACAACTGCCCACCACGCCTGAATGTATGTAGGTAATTCAATAGAAAATGTGTTTGGCAGCCCAGAACACATTTTCGACAATCGATAATGTCTTCAGCACGTATTTTCTGGGATGGTGTTGAGCAGGTATATATAAAAAGTTGACATCCCAGATATTTATTCAACCAAACGTTGACGGAACAGAACCGTTTATTCTAGTTTGAAGACAACGGTGTCTTTTTTTCCTATGTAATTTTACAGTACTGAATATCACCAACCTGCTAATATTGTTTTTCATCGAAGGTTCCGAGCTTAAATATATGTTTTGAGTATGTTTTATAAAAGTCTACTCCCCTCCCACCGGAAAACCTATAAAATGACGTGTTATTCACAAGCATTTCTGGGTGTGTGAATGGTGTAATCATAGCGACTCGGAATGAGAAATGGGAGACCCGAGTTCAAATTCCAGTCTGGTTCGTTACAATCATTTACACGAAAATACGCTTGGGAAAGTATTAATCCATCTCCTCCTCACAGCTATGGATTAAATACTAGTACTTGTATCTGGAAAATAATTGTTATTCTCAAAAAATTGTTATTGTAATATGCATTAGTAAAAGAAAATCGTACAATCCAAAATATGTTTCGGCTTTAAATAATTCACAAAGGGTTGATAAGCCGTAAAAAACCAAATCAACCCATCACAAATATTTCTCAAATATATAACGTTTGGCATAAAATAAGTTACTTACATTTTAAAATACCCAACTTTGATCTTCAAAAAATTTAAATGCAATATCAATCGTTATCTTCTGTATTTTTAATTCCTGTTCTTTTAAGGTTCTCCCTACTTAATAATATTTTTATCATATTCTCTTACACTGAGTAATCCCTTGCGTCTTAGTAGCTTTATTGCCTTGCTTACGGAGAAATTACTAAAAATAAGAAGAAAAGTGCAAAGTTAATTTTATTTTTAAATAAATTTTTCAAAAAAATGCATCTAAAATGTTTTCAATCTTTCCCTGCTATCATTCGCTACTTTTTCATAAAATTTAACCATTCACATAAGTTTAAATGAGCCTCGAGAACATTTTTGATAAAAAAAAGCATTTTATACTATTCTTCAATACAAATCCCATCTATTTCATCCAAGCCAAACCGAAAGTAATCTACGATGCACTGTTACATTTTCATCAGAAATTTTTTAATGGAGTTTAAATTTGGATTTTGACTTGATTAAGCTAAATCAATTTTCCTCTGATGTAAGTAAGCGAGTAGCTGTTGTTCGTTGTCCTCCAGGAAGTTAAAATTTATTCATCCTTTTTACTGTAGATTTTTGTATTACACGCCCCCAAAATGTTTTTGCTTCATGTCTGAAATCAGAATTTTACTTACCCCAAATCAATTTTTCTATAAAATTTTATGATGTAAATAATATTCTTACTCTATATTATAAAAAAGATGATTCCCTGTCTACCACATATTGCCTGCGTATGACATTGTATGCGCTTATGTAACATATATGTGAATGTCTGTGTTGCAGGTGAGTAGCATACATGTACTTATTCCATTTAATGTACACGAAAACACACACGCACACAGAATTTGTAACAAGACCTTTGAATAATACATTCTCTTCTCATTATGTCTGGACAACTAATAGCCTGGGCTGAACAATGAAATCATAAGGAAACAAGAAGATAACAAAATTAAAAACCTTAAAAAGTCAGATAATAAGATTTTTGAAAATTTTGGAGACTATGCAATAATAGAATTATTTTAAAAAAAAAAAACAGTCTTAATTTTGTAGAAATATTAATACACGTGCACACACTCAAATGTACATACGCAACAATTTGAATAAAATTGTAATGGACCTGCGTCGTGAAAGCTAATTTCCTTCCTGTTTAGTAACAAGGCCTGAGTAACATGAAGAATGTTTAAGCTGAAATGTGAACTTTGACGCCATTTTTGTGACTTTCTGTGTTTAAACTAAATATATTTTCTAATACATATAATATTTTAAACTAGCATAGAAGAAATTATTTTATCTTTATCAACACCTTAATTCGGCATAATCTTTCTTCATATGTGCAACCAATCTCCGGAGTTTGTTTACATTTATTTTGCGCAGTAATTTTCATTTTCTTTTAAAATCACCATTCTTTAGGATCGCTTTACATAAAGTCACTCTTAAAAGACATTAGGGCACCCGAACTATGTAATATTTCGAATACGTCACAGTACGCTTGCTAGAAAAAGAAAAAGAAAACATATGAGCAACGTACCATGCCCTGCTTAAATCTTAATTATGGTTTAATTAGACGATACCAATTGCAATTGCGGGGAAAAGCGAAATTAAAGTTAAACCTTTCATAAAGAATTGTTTTTTTAAATCTTTCACTCTGTTCGATATTTAAATTTAACCTTAAATGAGTTATTTATTTAATTTGTAATCGTAGTTACAACCAGTTACTTCAGATTATGATTGGCCAAGATCGAAAAACAGACGGACGGATGGACACACGTACACTGCGCTTTATTTATATATAAGATGGAAAAACAATTTAGATTTGAAATTTGATCATCTTGTCGTCGGCGAAGCGATAGGTTCCGAACTACTAATATCTAATAGTAACAAAATTCCGTGGAATATCGCTCAGTAGAATATTTACTACATGAAAGAGGTGGATATATACATGAAAAATCGTTTTAAAAATGATAGCTATTGATTTAAATATTAATACTTGAGAACAAGTTAACGGACAAAATGTTAAATACAAATTTGTGATGCTGAAATCAAGCTAGTATAGAAATTTAGATATCCAGCATGTTTTAACAGAAGACGGAAAATGCAACACCGAAACTCGAAGGTGCATTGGGATAGAGAAAGACGCGTTCGAAAAGCTAAGTAAGGTATTAGAAAACAGAAAAATCTAGTTAGACACACAAAAATGATTACTGAACTGTTAGATAACATTGGTCCTTCTATATAGCAGAGAATGCAAAATATGTCTTAGTAGAAATAGGGCGAGCAATAAATGAACAGTAATAAAAATAAGAATTAATGAGATAATCCCTAGACATGTGCAGCTAAATCTACCACCGTAGATTAAATAAAGGGTTCTATTGGGAATTCCCTGTAGGATGCCCGAACACACATAGACCTGATGAAGGCCGGAGGTCACAATGATCGAAACGTTGTGATAACAACAACGAATTGAGAACAATAATCCACAAGTAAACAGTGTAAATAATTATTACTCGTCATCCCAGAAATTCAGACAGATATTAGATGTGAGTTTTAATGAGTATTATATCTTACCATTCATCACCTGGCATCTTGTCTTCAGTCATTTTACTATCGCCATAACGTAGCTTTCCCTTGACTTTTCTTTAAACATTTTCATGGTCATTTTTCTAGTGAGCCTTCCTTTTTTAGTACATCGACTTTATGAATTTAAGCGCAGTACTGGATTGGCAGCTATTTTATAGTTGAAATTGCTAGATATAACCGTAAGTTCTATGCTAACAGTTTCTTCTTTCGCACTTTTCGCTTGTGGAACTACCTCCCGGCTTCTTGCTTACCAGTCAACTTTGATCTTAAAAGAATTTAAATGCAATATCAATCATCTCGTTTTGTCTCACTGAATTCCGTTTATTTTTTTTTTTATTGTTCCCTCTCCTTAATAATGATTTTTCACTTATTATTTCACTCTCAACACCTTCTTACATCTTAGTGTCTTTATCGCCTTGCTTTGGGTGAAATAATTTAAAAAGAAAATCTAAACATATTTCTTAAACATACGAATGTCATTCTGTGAGGGCTGTTAACCGAACTGCAAACTGAAAAGCTGAAGTTGCATCTTGTTGCTAATATGTCAAACAACTGTCATATTGAAGACATGTGTATATTTGTGCAACTTTCAGTCTCCTAGGTAACGAATGGGCTGGTGGCATGCAGTTGTTGCATAGTTTTGTGTAGCTATTAACTGCTTCCTTAAAAATATGAAATACATTTTTTTAATTGAATGAAATATTTCTTTGTGTATGTAAAATTCCAGCGTTTCATTTGATCGTCTAGACAAAGCAGAAAATCGTAGACCAACTATTAACAAACGATAATATGAGTTTTTTAATCAGTTTTACCCCAAGTAAGACAGAAAAGCCACTAAAACACAAGGGGTTACTGTGTGTGAAAGAATTAGGAACGGAAACATTACTAATGAGCAGGAGATAAATGAGTAATCAGGAAGACAGTAGATTTTTGCATATTAAATATGGCCGAAAAGCATGGAGCAAAAAAGAAGTTCCACAAGCGAGAAGTGCGAGAAAAGAAACTGTTAGCATAGAATCTACGGTTACATCTAGCCAGCTCAAATGTAAATTGAGAAGCGACCTAGATGCAAATCTAATGGCAGGCTTAAATTCATGTAATCGAGGCAGCTGGAAAAAAATCAGTTGCCATGAAAATATTTGTAGAAAAGACAGACGGAAGCTACGTTACGCCGGTCAAGATGGATACAGAACCTTTTTTGGATTTTGTCAAGAACCTCCAGATGTACAGGAGGAGCACCAGAGAAGATATGGCAACAGTATTCAATGCACTTGCGAATGCTAGATTTATAAATGCGCAAGATGGATTCTGACGATAAAAAATTTCTAGCACAACAAAATGAACCAACTTTCCGTTTAGTAGACGATTCATCTGATTCAATATAGTCGCTCCATTTCATGTCAGTGGAAAACGTGAGGCTAAGAAAGCGTAGCGTGTTACTCTGTAGGGGTTTAGCATCAACCACACTGATTGCAAGCAGAAAAGTTTCCCTGGGGTGATTAAATGAAATTGTTTTGGAGGCGTTAAACTTTACAAACTATTTCTTTCCCCAGTTCGCCACTAGCCTCTGCATTCGTTCTTTATAATTCTCTATATTTCTTCAGTATGCATTCCTATATTCTTTTCTTATGACTCTACAATCGTTTATATGAATCTTTATACTCTCCTGTTGTAACGTAAGCAAAAGTCGATTGAAACTGGAGGAAAACACCTTATCGATTGCTTCTCCAACAACTATGAGGATAATAGCGAGAGAGGAAAAAGAGAAGTGGGGTAACAAAAAAAAAAAAATAATAACACTGGCTCGGAAACCACAGCAACTTGAGGACCAAAATGCCCACAGGACCTACTTTACAAGACAACGTGTTTTACCAACTGCCGAGTGCTGTTTTCCCAACAGCTTTTATTGGCATGAGACATCTTACAAAGACTTGAATAGTTGCAGCGATGCCCGTGTCTAGCTTGACAGGCCAAACCGTCCAACTGCCAACAGGAAAACCTCGGATGTAACTGGTGTTGACACTGATGTCTGCATGCTATCCGAGGCTCTTTTTGTGTCTGCACATTCGCCACATCTTACCACTTTTTTTTCAGTATTTACTATATCAATGTGATTTACTATATTCCTGCCATATTGCTCGATAATGTTTGCATATGAATCACTATATACCTTGCATATTATCTTCACATATTATTCTCTATAATTCTTCGATACCAATCCATATATTCCTTCCTTCTCAATTGGTGAACAACAAACAAGTAAGAGAAGGCCACAATAAATCTTACTAGATTCAGTAGATACGAAAAACTTTATTACAATTCTATACAAACACGGCTCCAAATTAAGTAAGTGGTATCTGGAACCTGATTGGATAAGACAAGTCACATGATGTGTTTTCTGTGACGTCCACGCGGTTGAACTCCAAATAACCTGAAAATGGGTCAGGGCTCGGATTACTGAGTACATTCCCGCGCAAAACAAAGCGATTCGGAGCCGACCAATGGCGTTCAATATGATTCGTAAGCAACAGTCAGCGATGAGATGTGCAACGACACAGTCATTAAAGGACAGTCGGCGAAAGAGTCTCAACGAACCAGACCAGCCTCGATCAAAAGCTTAGACACATGTTACCATGACAACGCGTTAGTCAGCGATAATTTTTCTACATACAACGCCACGACGAAAGTAAGTCATGTATCCCCTCTCTTTGTTCACTGTGTTTTAAAATTACTGCTATTGCACGCAGTCAGTAAGCATTCATACGTGTCATTAGTGTGCATACCACTTGATTTCCTAACTTGTAACAAAACATATCGAAACTTTGAAGACTCACGGAAAAATGATTTCAAACCATCAAAGTATTGGTCTCTTCATGGCCACTTCAAAGAACACTGATTTTAATATGTAAATACATTTATCTGACTGTATAACGGATACTTAGCTTGATCTTCTTCCTTTTTTCCTTTTCTACAAACATCATTTCTTCGCGTTGTACAAAAAATTGTATTGTATTTGTAGACACAAAACTCGAATAATATTTATTTTTCATCCAAAAATCCGTGTAGACTGACCCCACACATATGACTTCATATACTCCTTCCATGTGTTTGTTTGATAATTTCATATGTGTTTTTATATTCCTTGCAAAAGAGTATAATCTTTGCATACTTGTGTTTTATATTACTTGCCATGGGTCTCTATTTTCCATGTATCCTGTTATAAACTTTATATAATGCTCATAGTTACTGGTTAGTAAGACTGTAAGGAAAACACCGGAAACAAATGATTGCGTGAAGACGGGTTTAATCACATGAGAACATGGATTGAAAATATAGTAGTTCAGTGCGACAATGGTATGACTACAAAGCGCTACGTCTTTGCGACCCCCTTTTTGCCCCTGTTTCATGAGCAGACATTGTATTCTATAGACGAGTTTATATTTCAATAATAAATGTAGAGAAGGTTATTCAGTCTTTCTTCATATCATATCATATTCTAGATATCCATTCGATATGATGTTATATAATCTCTTCATGTGGATCTATCCAACCTTAACGTATTAATCTTTGCATACGATTTTCTATATTTATTCGATATGATACAATTTCTCTAACGGCAGTATTTATTTCATCCTAATGATGATATCTATTCAAGATTAAAATATGATTTAATGGTTATTTCTTGTTAACTGTTAATTATTTTCTTATTACGAAGGAAATGCCACAATAAATAACCATATGTCCTCATTACCATCACAGCCGTTTTTTTTGTTTTTTGTTTTTTTTTTTTTAGGCAGGACCGGGATTAATCTCGCACTAAGGAAGATAGGTCATTCCTGACAGAGCATCTCAGCTTACTTCTCCTCATATTACTAATCATTCTCATAATAATTTGAAGCAATGTTTTATAAGGCCGGATGATCTTCCAAGTACACTGAGTGCTTTTATCGTGACACTATCTCTAGGAAGTTTGCCATTCAAGGCTTGAGACCCCATCCTAGCGTTATGTTTGACGTTCACTCCTATAAGAAGCTCATCCGGCCATAAACAGGTCTTGTTTTTCGTCTCATGACAATACCCTTGTGCAGATACGTGCTGATAAGAACAAGAGTAACATATTAAAAACTTATGAAAGTTTTATACTCAACGACGTTTAGACGATTATACCTCGTTAAAATATCTTCATTATAAAATACCTCATTTCATTTACAGCGGAGAGTTTTAATTTGTATATTTGTAATATGAATGTCTTGTTGCAAACTAGCATCAGCGATGCTCTTTTGCAGAAGAGACAATAATTCATTGCATCTCCCAGCTGCAACATTTACACTCATTGCATGAGAGTGATCAATACGTTCATCTCACAAGCTATTGATGTTTAAGCTCAATTTTCACTATGTTTTTTGTATTGTACCAGATTTGATTTATATGAAATAAACAAACATATCACCTGAAAAAAAGATACAATGTCCTCGAAAATACATTTAGAAGTTTAACCCGCAAATGATAAAAACAAGATGTTTCATCGAATATAATTCAACTTTAAAAAAAAGAAAGCCTGACACGAAATAACAAATCAGAGAGACTTTTGATAAAGTTCAGAATCAGAAAAGGAAACCTGGAAATTCTTGAACATTTGAAGAAGGAGGACTTAGAAAACTTAACTCTCACAGGAGATATTGAGGTTAAGAGAGATAGATGTAGACAGCTGGTCAGCTACCTGATAAGCTTGTGTGAATGGATGGTGGAAAGTGAGGCGAGAAGCTTGACAAAGGGAGAAACGCAGCCAAGGGCCACGAGGGATAGGGAGTTGCGGAAAACCATGATCGCCCACGTCCTGAAGGGATACGGCACATAGATTTGTTTTATCCGCCAAAAAATGACGACTTAAACGTCCTATCTTCTTGAGTTCGTTGCATCTTGATCTGTCCGATACTTTTTCAGCATCGCCATCCGTGTACTGTTACTGTCATTGTTGCAACTTCCTCTTCCATCTAGCAGATGTTAAATGGATGTCAGCAGTATGCAGAGTTCCTGACCGAATTCCTGCAACATGGAACGTATTCACCACCCCCGCATTATCATGCACGCCAACTGAATGCCAAGCGTTCCATGGATTGATACTGAGGAGACATCGTCGCCATTTTTTTTTCTTACGGAGTTAAGAGTTTTTTGGGTTTTTTTGTTTTTTTTTTTTCAAAATATTCTCGCGTTCAGTTAAGAAGACAGAAGTGGGGTTAAACGAAAATATTCAAGACAAAGAAAAATAGAAAAAATAGCACTAAAAGAAAGATAATAAAGGAAAGACGAAATACAGAGAATTAAAAGAGGGGAAAAGAGAAGGAAGGTGATAATATGAAGCGTTAAAATGAAAGATTTAAGAACGGGTAAAAGAAAGAAGAAGCGCATCGACATAGGGAAAGAATTAACAATTTAATCTGACCATAAGTAGTGAGTTCCATTCTCATTAATAACGAGTTCCTTTTTCATTGGATGCTCCACGCTTATGGCCCTGTGTCAGAGATAAGCTGTGAATAATCAGTGTGCCTTATAATTATATAATAGTACGTTGGTTTGTAGATTATTAGTCATGAAATCGATCCTCACCGAGTACCCCATATATTGTATCAAATTAAGCTATAAACATATTAAAAACTAGCAGTAGAGCCCGGCGTTGCCCGGTGATGTAACAGTAAGAGATAGATCAAGTATCGACCATCATAAAGACTGAAAAATAAAATTGACAAAGATTATTGTTTAAGGTTGACGGACACGCATGTCTTAATTAGTTTTTTTTTTTTTTTTTGGTGTTTTTTTTTTTTTTACGAATTGGTCAAACAAAAAACATCGTTTTAAACCGTTATGAATCTACCGATTGAATAGAATTTTATTATAAACAATTGTCTTGTAAATGGAATTTTTAAAGCATTCTGAATGTAAAAATAAAGAAAAAAGTGTGCAAGACAATAAGAAACACTACCTGCCAAAAAAAATTAAATTTTTTTTTTAAATCGGTTGAAAAATGTAGGGAATCCGATCTGGGTTTTATAATAAGTATAACTCGATATGAGTTGTCCCCCTTTCATTAATGCCTCTTAATCATGTATTCAAATTGATTTCGTGCAAAAACAATTGTGTTTTTCCAATTTTTGGCGCTGTCAGAACCACCGCAAGGTAATTTTACGTAGTCCTGTGAAGTTTTGTTGAAATCGGTTGAAAAATGTAAGAAATCCGATCCAATATATAAACGAACAGACACACACACACACACACACACACACACACACACACACACACACACACACACACACACACACACACACACACAACCTGGGTTTTATAATAAGTATGATAACAAAAACCATAAAGTTAAAAGTTGAAATAGAAAAATAAAAGAGAAATATGAAATTAATTCTATAAATTATGTGCGAAAATTTTCAAGATTTTATTCGTTGAGATCTCATCAATTTGGAGTTGAGCTGGCTAGATATAGCCATAAATTCTATGCTAACACATCTCGTTTGTGGAACTCTCTTCTAGTTCTATGCTTTCCAGCCGATTTTAATCTGCAATAATTTAAATGCAATGTCAATCGCTATCTACTGTCCTCCTGATTACTCTCTTCTCTTTCTGCTCATTATTATTGTTTCTGTTCCTAATACTTCCACAAATGTAACCCCTTGTGTTTTAGCGGCATTACGGGGGGGGTTACTGATTTTAAAAATATAATTAAATATAAAGAAATATAAGTGAAAAGCCCGAAGCTAAGTTTATTTAACACACTTCATTGTATCTGAAAATGACAGTCGCCATTACACAGATGTAGACATTTCAGTAAAATCAAGTTCGGAATATTATAAGATTTTATTATGCAATGTTTTCACTTTAAAATTGTTATTAACCAACTGATAGTGGTAAGATACCCAGGATATAATCATATGATAAATATACTATGTGAATATCAGCTTGTAACATTTATTCTTATGAGAATTATTTACAGTAATTTATTTGGTCGTTTGATATTTTATTAGGCAACGAGAAGGCTATTCATCACATAGTCAATAACTATTTATAATAGTATAATTATTGATGCTTATCTTTAATTTCGGATATATAAAAATTGCCGTGAGTTTTAAGAAATCTCAAAAGAGAAAAGATATTGTAGAATTATCTATCGATTGGACATAACGCTGGAAATTGGAAATTATTCATAGAAAAATCAAAAAACAATTTCAAAACATTGAAAAGATAAGAACAAGCAAAGAAAACAAAAATAAATTTAAAAATGTCATAAAAAGAAAATTTTAAAAAATAACAAGTGCAATAATCAATACAAGTGTATTGACCAGTAAGAAAATATTTCAAGTTAGTGTTGAAGAAAAGAGAGAAAAACTGCAGAATATAAAGAACATTGGCTAAAAACATAAAAAAGGTCGTATGCCTCACTACACAATCAAATTAATAATGGCTAGCAGTTCGTATCCGAGTATAACCGTCTACTAATGCGGCTAGCCAATCCCTGTTGCAGACGCCTGCTCAGACACATTTGTGCTTGTTTAACACCTACAGAGCCCACCTGTGATTTATACTGCAACTATTTCTGAGCGAACCTTAGTTATCGTTTCAGGCGTGACCGACAGTTTGAACAAGGCTAAATACACTCAAACCCTCGGTCATGATGACTTGTCACTTCATGCTAGCTAAAATAGTTCCGTCTAAAATTTCAGTCACAAGGCTGGGGTCAACCTGTGGTACGGTTTTCAGTCACTTTCCAAAGGTTCCGCACGCTGGGATCGATAACATCAAGAATTCGCCTTCTTGACAAATCGACCATGGTGAGACTCAAACCCGGGCCCTATGGTCCGAAAGTGGACGTTGTAACCACTCGGTCACGCGCCCATATCAATCACTTTATCGTGAAACATTTGTAACTTAGTTGCGTGTTGCCTGGTTTTGGTTTGGTATCGTTAATGCTAATACTTTTATTCTGGGTTACTTCTGTTGAAAGTGTTTACCATTTCAAGTTATATTTACTCTACACTGTACATTTTATTTTGACTCTTGAGTTCTTCCCGAGTTCGTTTTTTGTTTTGTTTTGTTTTTTTTTGTTTTTTTGTTTTGTTTTTTATTTTTTCAAATTTCCAATTTTGAAGTTTTCCTATGCCTCGTTTTGGTTCTGTTGTCAGTTTTCTGACAAACTCACAATTAATCATGATCTGCCCTGTCGGTGGTGTTAAGAAGACGTCGACTATATTTGCAGCAGAAGGTTAAGGTTCCCATCAAAGGAGCCAACTTTCGATTGGATGCTTATAGAATCAAGTATGAACCAGACGAATAAACTCATAAACTCTATAAACTCAAGTATAAAACCGGCCAATATTTATCTATAGGCTAAAGTATAAACCCGACTAATGTTCACTTACAGACTAAAATACAATAAAAACGAAGACTTCGACATTGGATACTCCAACAGGGGCGACATGGCGTAAAAAGTACCAACCCTTTAAAATAATTTGCGGGGTTTTTAATCCTTCTATATACTCAATATTAAATAATAATTTACCTCTTCTTTTATTTATTTATTTTTTTTTTTTCATATACAGCCTCTCGGCACCTCACCTCTAGGATGGTTTTTCTCATTAGTTTAACTACCTTCATTCCATCTGTTCATATTTCTGAGATGGGTTATGTTTATACATTCATTACTTTCTTTGTTCTTTGATCCAAGGTTTTTTTTTTTCTGTTTTTATAAGTTCAAGGAATATCTAACTCTGGATATTGTCCACGTCTTTGAAAGCTTTTTGTTGTTCAGTGTCGTTTTTAAATCCTCCTTTATTCTCTTGAGACATCTTCCCCTCCATTTCTACTCTTTTTAATAGAATTGAATATTCAAAAAATGTTAAATGTTTTTTCCATACACTGTTCAATTTTCACTGTTCGGCAATTGAATCCATTCTATTGATTTTTGTTCTCCTTTTCTATTCTGTGATTATTACAGACTTTAAAATTAGGTGTCTCAATATATATATATATATATATATATATATATATATATATATATATATATATATATATACACTGGTATAACCAACACGCAGAAGTCGATATAACAAACGGTGCCAATTTGATTATAATGGTAGCCCCTGCCTTACGTCGAGCCTAATCCAACAAACTAAATCTTATGGGATAAAAGGTTGAAATTGATATATATGGAAAAACTTATGCACGACAATATTATTAATAAATACGTAACATAAATACTTCAGAGTGTGTATATATATATATATATATATATATATATATATATATTGTGTACTTCAGAGTGTGTGTGTATATATATATCTATATATAGAGAGAGAAAGAGAGCGAGAGAGATGGGAGAGAGAGAAAGAGGGAGAGAAAGACATAAATATATATATATATATATATATATATATATATATATATATATATATATATATATAGGTTGCGATGGGTAAATTGTCATTAAATATTTTAAGTTCGCGCGTTATTTGTCTTTTTCATTTTGTCGAATACACGGTATAGTAGGGTCAGTTGGCCTCTGTCTATGAGAAAAAGAGCACCATGACGCAATTCACTCCGCCAGAAATATGGAAACCGCATGCTGTACTGCTTCGCGCCAGAACCTCAATACGAATATTTCAGTGTGTTTGGTTGTCAATCTGTTGACAGAACAGAGGATTCGGAAAGAACTGGATAATATATCCAGGCAACATCATGGTGTTTTGAGTGATAGCTACTGATTGCGACGTTAGGCAACCATTCAACTTCCCAAAGTACCCCAGACACAAGATTTAATAAGTTATTATATCTGGGCGGAGTTGAGTGAAAGACCAACAATATTCTTTGGAACACCAAAGATGACCTGAAAACAAAGATTATGGCAGAATTCACCGTTTAGAAGAATAGCAGGAGATTCTGAAGGCGTCTGGAGTTTGTGGCGATTTTACAGAAAAATTTTGTCTTTAGTATTTCTAGATATTTTATGTAATTTTAGTAAATATATCTGCTAAAATGAGATGTCAGTGTTATTTTCAGTTTTATGTAATTTATTCGACAATTTATCTATCACACACAATATATATATATATATATATATATATATATATATATGCATATATATATAGGCACATTTATAGAAATACAAAATAGACATATGTATATAGAAAGATAAATTAATAAATAGGCATATATACAAAGACAAATATATATATATATATATATATATATATATATATATATACATATATATATAGGCACATTTATAGACATACATAAATAGACATATGTATATATAGGGAGACAAAAATAAATAGGCATAGATACAAAAACATATATATATATATATATATATATATATTTGTCATTCTCAGAGAGTTCTGTTTCGC